CCCCGGGTCGACCGGGTCAATGCCAGGTTGGCTGGGTTTTGACTGGGTCTTTTGTTGGCAAGTCCGAAAAGCCTACCCGGCTGGTTCCGGCTCCGGGTCGACCGAGTCAATGTCAGGTTAACCGAGTTTTGACTGGGTTTGACCGGGTCTTTTGTTGCCCAGTCCAAAAAGCCTACCCGGTCGGTTCTGGCTCCGGGTCGACCCGCTAGGTCGATCCGGGTTGAAAAACACTGATGTCAATCCTTCATATTATTATCTTGGGCTCAATAAATTAGACAATAAAATAGATATTTTCTAACTAAAATCTTTATGATTACATATCATGCTTTAAAAAAATTTCTTAAGTTAATAATAATAACTAAATAAATATTAAACTCTTACGTTTGAATATTTCATATTCTTATTCAAAGTCTTTTACATCTATGATGTTATGTGGAGCCTTCTTGATGTTCTTTGGAATTTTTTTTTTTTAAAAAAAAATTGACAAGTGCCTCATTTGGCTGATATGTTAATGTTTAAAATTCAATTAATTAAATCAATCTCACGTAATGAAATCTTTTTGTTTTGGTTGTTAATGAGATAGATTTACTTCCTAACTAAACCAACCACGCGGAATTTCTCCGGTTGCACACTCTCATGCTAGACTTTTTTCAATATGGACTTTATTGTCAGTTTTCATTTATTTCTTTCTTAAATTTTTATTAATACACACAATAGCTGAATTATTTATTTTCATGTTTATTGCTACTAATTATTTAATATGCATCATATTTATTTATGAGATTTGTATATTATTTATCTTATATGCATAATATTTGTTTATGGGATGCTTTGTCTAATATGCATGATAATTAATTAGTTGCTTATTTTTTTCATAGGAATTAATTATGTCAATTAATTAATTATTTTGTTTGCATGATAATTAATTATGAAAAATGCATTTTAGGAAACCAATAATGAGATGTTTAAATATAAATAATTATATTTGAAATAAAGTTAAAAAAAAAGTTCTAAGGAATAAATTTGTCCGTGCATCGCGCCGGACACACACTAGTTTGGAACAAATGCACCCAAACCAAATCCTTCATTTTGCAAATTGGGCGGGACTTAAAATTACCAACTCTACCTGTATAGGAACTTCATTTCGCAAATTGACCGGGAATTAAAATTACCAACTCAATAATTGCACCCATTTAGAGCACTCATTCTAAGTTTGGCCAAAGCTGATGTGCACTTTTTATCTTCTTGTTTTACAAGAGTGCAATTATATCGCCAGCTTGTGTCGTGTAAAATGCAGGACGAAAAGAAATTATCACCAGAATCATAAGTTGCGTGTCCTAAAAATACAAAATATGAACACACAATGTTTTACATTGTCCACCCAACAATGGGAAAATGTTAAAAGTTGTTGGGTTATCCTCATTTCCCATAAAAGCAAATCAACTTTTGGGCATCTAGGTATACAAATATTCTACGGAGCTATCGGATAACTTTCTTATGATTTTTTTTTTTTTTTTTTTAACATCTCAGAATGGGATGGGGGGTTGAGGCTATACCCCCAACCTATGAATATAATGGCCCAAATAGGACTAAAAAGTCAATGGTCTACATCAAAGTCGAAAATACATAGGACAACATAAAAAACAGAAAATAAAAAATACAAGGATCACAAAAATATCCGATGTGGATCTAAAATTAAATCCTCATAAAAGGTCGTCCTGGTCAGAGTGACCTGGCATGGGGTCCAAAACGTCAAATCTAGTCAGGGGCAGGTGGAGGCGGTCAACCGAATCTGAATGATGGATACTCTAGCTGGTCCATCCGAATGAGCGTCTGAAGCCGGAGGGGAATATCCTCAGGAAGAAGGGTGCGTCGCTGGGGTATAGATGCCCCCGTGCTAGCAAGGAAATCAGCGGGCCGATTCTCCTCCCGGAAAATGTGTGAGACCTGGTAATGGATCGAGCGGAGGGTGTCTCTGATGTGCATAAGAGGGTGCTGGATCTGTCATGAGCCCTGGTGGCCAGATGTCAAGAGTGTGATGACAGCTGCAACATCCATCTCTATCCAGATATGAGAGGAGATCGAGGCAGCAATCTCAAGACCAATCTGGAGCGCCTGAATCTCTGCATCATAACTCGAGGAGACCCGGAGTGGCCCATGGAAGGCAGAGATGAGTGCCCCACCATGATCCCTAATCAGGCCCCCTCCTCCAGCAGCTCCGGTATGTCTGTCGAAAGCACCATCAGTGTTTAGCTTAACCCAAGGGGCCTTGGGTTTCAGCCAAACAATGGTCCTGGGTCGTGGATGCTGGACAGGTAAGGAGGTGGTGGCCTCAAACGATGGGGCGGTGTACACCCTGTCCAGTCTCTCGTCGTGAGTCTACCAAGGGCGGTGAGGAGAGAGAGGTGTCTGTCAACCTGCAAAATAATGTGAGCACAAGAAAATATAATATCCCTATACTTCGCATTATTCCTTTATGTCCAGGTGGCCCATAGGATCAGACAAGGAATAAGGAAGCCCACGTGTCTACTGTGTATGCGGTGTGAGAAAAAACTCAGAAGCTCAAAAAAACTGTCTGTAGTGGGTAGGGGTATAAGAGTATATCTGGCATAGTGCTCCCACACTCTCCTCACAGTCTCATTTTCAAGGAAAAGATGGGTGAAAGTCTCGATCTCAAAGGTATCGGTCTCAGCACAACAATAGCAGCGGGAGGGGAAGGAGAACCCTCTTGGGCTGTGAATAGCCCCAGTTCCTAACATCACAGAGTCAATGGGAATGCGCCGTAATAGGAGGCACCACAAAAAGACGGAGATGGTCGGGGTGAGAAGGTCGGTCAATATGGCCCCGAAGAGGCGGTTTTGCCGGTTGCCCAGCCTCACATCTCCCCAGGCTTATGACGTAGAGAATGCACCCGACGATGTAAGTCTCCACCTCATGCCATCCAAACCTCCCTCCAGAATGAGAATCTGTCGGATCTGGTCAATCTCTAGACTATTAAAACTCCCACACTCACCAAGAATATCCTCCATCCTATCTCTATCCCAAAATACCCCCGTCCAGAGGTCCTTCACCTGCATGAAAGGCAGGTGAGTGACTGGCCTAGTACTCGAGAGAGGGGCCTCGCCGAATAACCACTCATCCCAAAAGCTAACCTCCCCAGAACCCAAAGTTCAAAGAATGTGCTTCTGAGCACGCCTGCCAACAATGGTGAGCCGTCTCCACTATCGACTGTCCCGAGCGGTGGCTGTCACCTTGCAAGGATGGGCAGCACCACCAGGGCAATATTTCCTCAGGAGGTATTAGGCCCAAAGGGACTTGCCCTCCCTAAGGCGCCACCACATCCTGTAGGAAAATACAGTAACAACATCAAAAAAACACCAAATCCCGAGCCCACCCTCAGAGTGGAGAATACATATGGAGTCCCACTTCACCCAGTGGGTCTGTCGCCGTCCCCGCGGGCCCTCGCCATAGCTCCAAACATAGCGGACTAAGATGTGATCTAACTCATGGATCGTAGACTGGTGGGGGTCAAGCACCGCGAGAAGGTGAAGAGAGAGGGCACAAAGAGTGCTCTTGATCAGAGCAAGTCGACCTCCGAAGGATATGTGTCTATGTGACCAGCCAGAAATTCGGTCAATCATCCTCTGACGGACGTCAATGAAAAGCTCATGGGAAAAATGGCCTTTGTACAAGGGGGCCCCAAAGTAAGGGATGGGTAAGTCTCCACGAGCAAAACCAGTGCGCTCGTGAATCTGGTGAGTCCAATGGTCTGCAACGTGGTAGTCCATGATAAAAGTGCTCTTACTAACACTGACTAGCTGACTAGATGCCTCACTGTAGTGGTCCAAAAGACTCATGAGAGCTACTAGCCCATTATCATTCGCACGAGTGAAAATGATATTGTCATCCGCATAAGAAAGGTGGGAAATGGGAGGCCCACAGCCACGCGTGCTGTAGGTCATTCTCAAAAAATTGCGAATGAAGCCGTCAAGGAAGCGAGAGAGATAGTCAGCCACCAGAACAAAAAGGTGTGCAGTGCTCCACACATGCCTCCACAAAGCTAATCCAACGGTTAGGGAATCCCATTCGAAACAGTACCTCTCTGAGAAATGACCACTCGACCCTATTATATGCTTTGACCATGTCTAGCTTCAGCACGAGGTTCGGGGTTCGTGTTCGATTCGCATGAGAGATGTCGTGTATCATCTCCTGAGCCAGTAGGATATTATCACTAATGACTCGATCCTTAATGAATCCACTCTGGTTCGGAGAGACAAGGTGGGGGCGAGGCGGCCGTTGAGGATTCTAGAAATGATCTTGTTAGTCACGTTGCATAAGCTGATAGGTCTGTAGTCAGACCAAGAACTAGGACCCGATCTCTTCGGGATCAAAATCATGGAGGTTGCCGTGAAGGAGTCTGGCATCTGGTGGCAAGAAAAAAAATCCCTCACAGCTTCCTCTACGTCAGTACCCACAATCTCCCAACAAGACTGGAAGAAGAGGTTGTCGTGAAGGACTCTCTTATGAAGTTATCCACAACTTTATGTACTGACACATGTCCAATATGCATTTATTGTAGAACACGTGTCAATACATCATTTGTGAATAATAGTGGATGGCTCCATAAACTGAGCTACCGATGGCTCTATAGCAAAACCGTCTAAGTATATTTACTCCTCACATAAATGTTGAGAATTTATGATGAGATAAACTGAGTATGTAATTATATCTTATCTGTGGTACTTGTTTGTTAAAATGTTTCCAAGTATATTACTATGCAAAAAGTGTAGGTACAAAACAACATCAATCCATCCATCCCCAATTAGAAATACAGCTGATAGAAATGAAGCACAACGCACAACACAGCATTAAATTTGAAGGGATTGTCAGAAATTAACAAGAACGCACGCACGGATGAAAATCAAGTTTGTATTTAATGGAAAAAAACCAAGAAAAAAAAA